ATATGTAAGAACCTCAGTAAATGGGCAACTAATTGGCCCTGTACCAGCCACCAAAGGAGTCAAGCAGGGCTGTATTTTAGCCCCGGCCTTATTCAACTTATATATAAATGACATGGTCAAATACCTAACATCCCCGGAGTTTCATGCCCCCAAACTGGCCGAAAAATCAATTTCAGCGCTCCTCTATGCGGACGACGCGGTTCTCTTATCACGAACTAAAGTAGGCCTCAAAAGACTACTAAGAGAATTCTCAGCCTACTGCAGGAGAGATCAACTGGTGGTTAATCATCAAAAAACCAAAGTCATGGTCTTCGCTAGGAGACACAGACATCACAGATGGGAGATGGACAATCAGCCAATAGAACAGGTCAAAATTTTCAAATACCTCGGAGTAGTTTTCCAGTCAACTGGGACCTGGGAGGCCCATCATAAATATGCTAGGGAAAAGCATCTCAAAGCGCCAAAATTCTGTCTCGCTTTTACTTTACGAAGGGGGGCAGACACATCCCAGCATCTCTGGAGGTCTTTCAAGCAAAACCCTTGGCGCAATTACTCTACGGGGCCCAAATCTGGACGGGAAATCATTGCCGCACACTTGAAACGGTGTCCACGCAGACTGCAGTGTGACGACAGTCTTACAGTTTTATTATATGCTATTATACATGTACATATACACACACACACTCTTCCTCATTGAGTTTGATTTATAATATTTATTTATTTAATTGGAGTCCGACTAATTGAGCAATTAATTTTTTATTCATGTTTTTGATTTGAACATGTACTTCCTGGAAAATGGAACTTTATCACCAGCTGACTGGAATAGGACTCAAGAGAGCTAGCTTCAAATTCCTAGCGAGCCTTAAAGTGCACTGAGAGACCTTGTGCAAGTCACACACTTTCACTTTAACCCACCTGACAAGGTTGTTGTGAGGATTAAATGTGCGAAGCACGCACACCACCCTGGGCCCCTTAGATGAAAGGTGGGATATAAATGTAATTAATCGTAAAAATGTCTCCCAGAATAAGGACTGGAGAAAAAGCAAAATCTGATAACTTCATGATTAAAGGTGTGATTGTGTGACTTACTTCTGATGATAAAAAAAAAATCAGAAGGGAGGCATGCTTGCCATTCTTAACACACCATTCGAGTTTATATAGAACAATAAAGGGAAAATTAAAACATTCACAGATTTTCTTCTGACCAAGCAATAGATTATTTTTCCCCCTATGGTTGCTAATTTTATATTGTACACATTCTGGGTTGATGACATATTTATCTCCTGATTGTCTATTGATGATGAATGGGTAGGAGCCAAACCGTTAAAATACACATAAGCCTACAGTATAATGCAGTGTAATATGTAATTTGATTCACTCTACTTAGAACCAATGGCAATTTAGTCATGGATTTTAGTTTTAATTGCTCTCTTTGTCAATGTGATGAAGATTACTTAAATCTGAGGGGTCTTAGTCAACCAATGTTGCATCTGAAATGGCATTTCATTCTTTATTGACATAAATACTCTCCAACCAATTTAAATAGCAAGACTATATACGGCAGTTTTATTCAATTTTAGGGAGTCTTAACAAAATAAATAAATACGGCTTACCATGTCTTCAGGCAGCTACTACACAATGACTGTAATGAAGGTTCTGTATGTCTCCCCTTCAATTTTAACATTATTGTTTTCCTAACTTTGCAATCATATAACAAGATAAAAACACAGATTCATACATGAATCAAATAACTGGATTTACGGATGTTTGGGAGGGTGGTTGTGGGGGTTTTGAGGGGGAGTGTGGTTGAAAGTAAAATGTACTTAAAGCAGTATATCAGTTGTAAAGATCACAACTAAACCAAATTTCTCAGTACTCATTTAAACAAACCTGTAAAGAAGACCATTATTATTATTTACATTTTACTGATGGAAAAAGGGAGGTTATGTATAGTTCTGATTCAAGATTTGTCAGAGAACAATTTTCTGAAGTTTGGAATGTTTTCTTTTTTGAGCTCCTCATGAACATTAGTTCTCCCTTGAGGAGTATTTAGTGAAATCCCCACCATGACCAATTTTGGAATTCATGAATTTTGAGCACAACTGTGTATCCCATTTTAATATTGCTTTATATTATTTTAATATTGAAGGAAGAATACTCTTTCTAGTATTCTACATACTGTCCCTGGCAGTGCTTTTTTTCGGGGGGGGGGGGGGATGCAGTGGTACGCATACCCCTAAACATTTTGTGAATCTTTGTACTTTTGTCCATTTACTGTATTTATTTTTCCCCCAATTTGAACTTTAAAATGATGATTTTCTTGAGTCAAAATTAGAGTACCCCTAAACATTTTTTAAAAGAAAAAAAGCACTGGTCACTGGTAACCCAGTATTGTGGCACTGTGTTGCCCCACATCCTCCACTGACCCATCAGCCGGATCCTGCAGCCAGTGGGAGAAGCAACAGCCTCTCTCACTGGCTGGGAAAACTTTGAATTTGGTCTGCTTGCAGATTGACTAATAGCTGTTGGACCTAGACGTGGGCACATTCAGGGGGTGGAAAGGACTGAGTCCCTTGAGGACTCTGCTCCCTGGGAATAAAAAGAATGTTGGCCTCTTATCTGTCACTGCACACTCACTTACTTGACCCACCATCCCTGTAGTTAGGCTGGCACCTACCCATCACTGGGAGTAGCATTTGTTTTTGACATTGCTTATATCCGTGACATTGACATGGATTACATCAATTGCTGCATTCAGGGCCAGGGAAGAATTCACCTTCAGGTCAGTTGGCCAGCCTGGGGGAGTCTGCATGCTTCATAGCAATTGTCACAACTTAGGCAGGTAAGGCACTGGGTAAAAGCCTTAGTCATGGTCACAGGTGGCTGGGAGCAGGTTATAAGTTTCTGCCTGGCCCTCCAAGGGAACAGGATATCCTATTAAAAGGATCCTGAAGGAGGTGCTCCTGTCCGGAAGCCCAGATGGGGGCTAAGGCCATTGCACTCCTCCAAAGGTGTGAATCTATTTGACCTTAGTCACAGGAGTCCCTTACCACTGGCTCGACACATCGGAGAATCAACCAGCATGCAGGTTGGTTGATACAGGTTATACACAGGGCTTAAGCCCAACCCCCTTGCCTTGTAATCTATAAAGTTGTGCCCTAATTCGAACCAAAAGAATGTGTCACGAATGGCCACTCAATCTCGTGCACAGTGCTGTCTGGTGGGCTCATGATGCCTGGGCATGAAATTATTCTCCTTAGTCCATTGCTTGCTTTCTCCCAACACCACTAGCAAGATTGTACAATAGATTTCTACTGAACATTAACTTAGCCAAAAATTCTCCTAAGAGGTATATTTGAGGGGAAAGATCTGATAATTTCTGAGATTATCAAAGAATATGTGACAAAATCCCTCCCCACAAAAATCATGACCCACAAATAACTATTTCGGGTGGTCATTTTCACTCAGCCTTAGGCCTATGGCTGGGGGATGATGGCTAGTTGAAGCCATTTAGCAAATTAATCACCAAGGTGAGATCTGAACTGAAGATTCCATGGCTGACAGCACAGACCTTTAGCCCCAGGGTGGGAAGCTTCAAGAATGGAGGTGAATGTGGACTTCCAATCCTCTCTGTCAGGTTCTTGAGACTTTCTTAGGCCATACCCCTCACTGACTCTGCTTCACAACCACCCTGAGTCTTTATCCTAGCTGGAAAGTGTTCTTCAACTCTAGAATGCATTTTGCTTGCCTGGGTGGAAGCTAGAAAGGGGGGGGGGGTGTGCACCTTACTGCAAAAAGATAACAATTGCATCAGTTCCGCCCGTGTATTCCTCTAGTACCTGTTCCAAGTGCCACTGGTGCCAACTATAGGGGGCCTAAGCACCCACACAGCGAGGCCTCCGACTCAACTTGTGGTGCCTCATGAAGCACCAGAAGTTGTACAGAGGTGGCGTCTGAGGCCTTGTGGAGCCTTGGAGATGGTGCCTGAGGCATCACAGGGCCTCAGACACGACTTTTGGGGTCCCCAGGTGCTGCTGTGGTGCATGACAGGCCATCACGACATTACGGGGCAACATGGCAGCAGGATGTCACATTACCTCATGCAGCGATGGGCACCCACAATCTGGGGCCCAAGTCAGCGCTCCTGTCGAGTACTGTTAATTATCACTGAGGATCAAGCAGGAGAATTATAAAACAAATAACTTTATTTAAACGAGCTTTCTTTAAACTCCCTATTCTCCCTGACCCTCCCGCTCTCTCTATACTTTCTGTACTGAATCACTTGACGGTAGCTGCTCCCTTAACTTGTGCCTCTGTGTCACTGACTTTCTCTCATAATAACCCTCTTAATTAGTTCTATGTACACTGATACACTGCCCAGCATAGGAGCCAACTCCTAGGAGCCAGGGTTCCTTCAGCACCCAATAAAATATTTGACACCCTCCCCCAAGTTGCAGGTACTATCTGTTGAAATGCACAAGGAAGGCTTTATTTTGGTATCAAAAAATTTATTAAATCTTTTTTAAATAATACAATAAGATGAAATAAACTAATCTAAATAAAAGCAGAAAAAAGAAAGATGGGGCGGGGACCCAGAGTCCTCTTTTGAAGGTAGATCTTGTCTCACACGAAAAATGGTGGACTCTCCAAGCCCTCCTCTGGGAGCTTTTCTTTCTTCTCCCTGTATCTCACGCTGGGGGTTAGTTCTTCCCTTCCCTGCCTCTCACTCAGGGTCCACCCACAACCCATCCACCACCTTCCTATGTGTGTAATCCCTGGACCCAGAGCAGAGGACACCAAAAGAAAACAGAAGGGAGGGGGAGAATAGGAACTAGTTTGTTGAACAAAGCGGAAATTCATGTTCATTGCTCTGCCCACATTTGTTGAAGGTTACCTAGGAGGGACTGTGCCTTTGAACCAGAAAAGGTTCCACACCTGCTGGTCTACACTGATTGACAGTGGTTTTCCATGGATTCAGCAGAAGTCCTTTCAGATCTATCTGGAGATGCCAGGGACTGAACTTGGCATCATCTACATTCAAAGCACGTGCTCTACCACTGAGCCAGAACCTCTACCCTATACACCCTTGAAACCTACCTTTCATAAGCAGAGCAATATTTTTGTGCTTGTCAGTACATAATTTGGAATGCTCTCTTTTCTCTATAGCTGATTTTGTTCCTGACTTCAAGAAAGAGAAAAAGAGGGAAGAGAGGTAGCAGTAGCAAAGGAACTTACTCATCAGATAAGTGTGATCAAAGAAGTAGCAAAACCAGAATCATATTTTGCTCTGTGGAATGATTTTATTTTTTTATACTATGAAAAATAATATGATCCCTCCCATGCACCAAAAAAAGTATGTTTCATTTTGGGGAGAAATAATAGTGTGTCAGGTCAGAAAAAAAACTTAAGAATGCAATTGACAGGTTGGTACTTGTGGGGGCCAGTATTTAAATTTGCAGGTATTTGTGTTCAACAATAAGCCACTGAAAAGGGTCTTTGTAACAAAGAGAAAAAATGTTAAATTATTCTCAATCAATCAAATTTTATGATGCAGTCACAGACCCATTTGTGACATTATTTTGGTGTTGAGCAGTTCTCCACTTACAGTTTTATACTGCAAAGTTTCATAATAAAAAAGAGAGAAGAGAGAGATTTAAAACTCAGATTGTTCTTGTAGCTGAATTCATTATGCACTGCACCACGGAGACCTTTTTTTTTTTTTTGCATCTGAGTCAAGAGCATCATTTTAAAAGCTATCTAGCTTGAACATTTTAGAATTAGAGTGATGTGTTATCAGAAATTACTCTGCCCACATGTCTAGTTGCTTCATTGTTCCACCAAGTCTACTGATTATACTCAGCCCATTCTTGACAAGCATTTCAAATGCACCCTTAGACTAGAGGCTGTAGAAAGCTGGCCTGATATTTGTGCTAATAATACTCATGTTGGGCCTTCTGCAAAAGCAGTTTAGCATGAGTCAGAATTTCACAGTTGCTATCCCATAAAAAATAATGGGCATATCTTTAGACAATTATTTTCACACTCTAGGTAACGGAGGACAAGTAAAAAGCAAAACAAAAACCACCCTGCATGCTGACTCTTCAGCCTCTGAAGATTTTTCAATTTTGTTTTGTTGGGCTGCTGCTGCAGAAAACTCACTCTTGGCTTTGTAGTGGAGGTCACTGAGGACAAGATGAAATGTCAGGCACCAAAGCTCACTTCATTCAGCACCTTCGCATGTTGAGTGTTATTGCAGAAAGATCTTGAAACAAGCCTGCAAATGTTCCAATAAAGCAGGTCAGTGTGATTTCATTCTAAGAGATGGTAAGAACAAGAAAGTTAAGCAAACTCCAACAAGTGAAATCAGCTCAAATGCTTTAAAGGGGGAAAAAATAAGTAAACACCAACTTTTATTTCATGCAAAAGCATCACTCTTCAAGAAACAAAACTTAAAAGGGGGTGTAACCAGATGCTATAGAGCAGGTGGACATCAGTATTCTTGAAAATTGTTCTGTAGATAATGGACATTGTTGGTGGGTGCAGCTTTTTAAATACCTGCAGCACTGAGATACTGCAACAGCTGCCAAAATAAGTCCCATGGTTTTACAAAACTCATGAGCAAAACTATGATGGTTCATGGCGACATGTTGTTAGTCCATGTATGTTTCCAATGCTTGATGGAAACAACAGACCTGAATATCTATCATGTTATGAAGAATAGACATTATCTTTGGGAGAAGAAAAGGCTAAGGAGTAAACCTTACGCAAATCCAGAGTAGAGTTCCTAAAGCAGTTGGATGGCATCTTGTATGCCTCCTTCCAGCATCTCCTGCAGCCAAACTGGTGCCAAATGTATTGCTTTCCTTTCCTTTGCACCACAACAGGAAGGCCGAGGGTCTTGTTGTCTGGGCAGCCTAGCACCTCCATACACACTTCCTAGGCTTGTGCCACATGGAGGTCACTTCGGTGCTGCACATGCAGCAAAAACAACATGGGAGGCAGCAATTGTGAGTTCTAAGCTCAACCTGATTGGCGTAAGGCATGAGTACTATGGGCTGCCTTTGTCTGTGGGAGAGATCATTGTGTCTCACCGGTCAGCAACTGCCTGCCTTAAGCTGGGCAGTCCCCAGTCAATAAAGTGCTGACCTGCCATGGACTGCCTGCTTCAATAGGTGCTTGGAGCTCAGAGTATCACTCAACAAATGGTCTGAACTTCTGCATCAGGCAAAAAAGAAAAGAAGCCAATCCTTTTGTGCCTAGAAAGCTGGAATGTCAGAACCATGTATCCTGGCTTGTTCACCAACCAGTTGCAGGTCAATGACTCTCAGAAGGTGGTCATTATTGACCTGAAAACACTCAACACTGACATTGCCATTCCGCAGAAAACCAAATTTGCTTCAAATGGCTGCCTCTGAGAGAAGAACTACACCCTCTTCTGGCTAGGAAGGCATCTTGAAGAACCATGTATTCATTACTTAGGCTTCACTGTTGGAAACGCCCTTCTGTCTGCAATAGAACCACCAACTGAGTGTTCAAACTGCTTGCTTTCACTCTGTGTCTCAAGTACCTCCAGTCTGGTTAACATCTTGAGTGGCTATGCTCCCACTATGTGCTCTGACATACAAACCAAGGACCAGTTCTACGAGAACGTAGACCAGGCTGTCAGGAGGGCCCCAGACTGTGAACATCTATCCCTGCTGGGAGATTTCAGTGCCAGAGTTGGGAAAGATCATCACACATGGGACAACTGCATAGGTCACTTTGCTATTGGCAGCATGAACGGGGACAGACAAAGGCTGTTTTAGTTGTGCTTGTATCACAACCTCTGCATCAAAAACACATTTTTGCCAATACATTTGTTCAGCTCAGATTGATGGAGAGATTACTGGTTATGGTGGAGCCCAGGTAGAGAGAGCAGCCCCACTTGGCTCCAGCAGTGAGGACTGGGCTGGCATGGTAGGCTCTGTTCACCCTCCACACCCCACACCCGCCCAGTGCATGCACACACCTGATCATACCCTGGGCACTGGCAAACACCTCTACACCACTGACTTCCTCTGCCTCCTGCATTTTGGCACTGCCCATTTGTTTGTCTCTTTCTTCGGATTCAATCAGCACCACTTCCCAGAAAAAGAGGTCACTATTCTTTCTCTTTACTCTTTCCACTGCTCTCTCATTCAGAGAAGGCAGTGTGGCATGAGGCTCCAGGGACAAAGAGTGCCCCCCCCCCAGTGGGCCATGCCATTGGTCTTTAGTCCTTCCTCTAATCATGACTTCATTTTACAACATACCTGTTTTCCATTGGGTACTGCAGGAATAGCCAACATGGTGCCTTCCAGTTGTCAGTGGGCTACAACTTCCACTCTTCCTTTGTGGCTGGGTCCAGCATCTGGTGGAAACTGTGTTGGCTACCCCCGAGTTGCACAGATTGGTTGACAGTCCCACTACAACTCTGTGCTGTCCTTGTGAATTTACCATGTACTCCTGCCAGAGTAATAGAATAGACAGAGTCATTCAACTATATCACATACTAATCCTAGTTCCTTATGGTATTGTATGACATTGAAATATAATATTACCAATAGTGGGTAAACTCATTATTTTGTTTTATTAAGATCTCTAACGATCTCTAACATGGTAGCTCAGGTTGGTTTGTGACAAAAATGGAAATACTTCCTTGGTCTCAAGGGCTCCTCATGCAATTATATCCCCCTCAAAGAGAGACCATTTCCCCACTTACACTATATCACCACTATTACCCTTAACCTTTCTGTTAGAATCCTAGGGTCTCAGACTCCTCAGAGATTAGTATTTTTCATTACTTGAGGCTTTTTTTCTCTTGAGGCTTATGAGCCACCAGGAGGAGTCTGGAGGCTTGCAGTGTCCTATCATACCCCATACTGACTATCAGCCCATCCTGGCTGATTACTGGCTGGGTTACACATGAGCAAACATCCAGTCTTAGCAGCTTTCTTCTTCCTGGTGTACAACATCCCTGTAAATCTTTCTCTAGATCCCACTAAACCAAACCATCCTGCCTAACTCAACATCTCAAGAGACTATTATATTCCTTAAAAGCTAGACTGCCTTTTTTTTCAATGCCTGCTCCTTGTCCACTTGACTTAGGGATTGGGATTTCATAGGTAGGTGGGTGGGTGGGTGGGTGAGCTGATGAATGCATTTACCCAATGATTAGGTATATTATGCTATTCTAGACCTGTCAAAATTCTTATCCACCGCACTGAAAGTGGAATGGCTTGCAAAGTATCCATCAGAGGCTAAGCACACCTTTCTACTTTGCCCAGGAACAATGGATGAAAGGGGTTTGGTGAAGGGTTGCAACTCAGAGGTAATTGTACAACATTTGCTTTGAATGGAAAAATCCCAGGTTGAATCCACAGCTTCTCTATGGTAGGGCTGAGAATAATGAGCAGCTTCTTATGTTCAGTTCTATAGGTTCCAATTGACATTACCCAAACTGACAATCCTAATATAGGTACCAACAGGCACCAACCAATGACACTATCAACAAGAAACATCCACAGGGTACAAACAGGGAGAGTGAAAGCATGTCTGGGGCACATGAAACACAACACTGCTTGTTTATAAGCCTATAAATAGATCAAACTATCCAAAGTTGTTCCTTTTGCTATCTACTTTTGGTGCTGTTTGCCTGAAGGGGAAACAATTTGGAAAATTACACAATCTTCCAATTTGTCAGACCTGTGTGATGGTGTCCATAGAGTATTATCTCATCAAGATAAACAAACACCTGCAAAGAGTTGGCAGCAAGTCTGAAAACATGGCTAAAGATAAGGCCACAATCAATTGTTGTTAAAACTGGCTTTAAAGGTGATTTTCATTGCTGTGATGTCTCATCATAGGGAACAATCAAAACTAGCAAGCTGACTCCCAAAGTGGTAGAGTAAAATGATGGCTGCAGCGGGTGAAACTAACGCAGGGCATGCCAGACAATATTTAGGTCAAAAGTTGTGTTTGAAATGCTGGGAGGCAAGCTTTGGAACCAGAGCAGAACTCTTTTTGGGGGGTTTAGTTGTGAGGGATAATCA